ATTTTATTATTTAAATTAAATTTATTAAATATAGAAAATTGAATAATATAATATAATAATAAATATATTAATTTTATATTAATAATTATAGTTAATTAAATTTATTATTAAATAAATGATAATATTATTTTATTAAATATTAATGTTATTATATATTAAATATAATAATTATAACAATTACATCATTAAAATGAAAATAAATTAAAAAAATAATTTAGACAAATTTTAAATATAGTAGATGAATAATATAAATCCTAAATCATATAACATTAGTTGTTTAATTTCATTGTTTGATCAAGGTATCTTTTTCTATCCTATGCAATAATCCAATATACATTGTCGTAGCATACAATTCGAGACTTGTTAGGTCGTGCAGTTCTATGAACAATGAAAACATACCATTTACATTTTCATTATCCTTAAGACAACATGTATATTTATATACACCAACGATACATGAAATTGGATATCGATAGTGGATATCTATGACAACTTTGTAACGAAGAAGATTAAGGTTGTTATTAATAACTTGCTTAAGTTGTTGATAAGTCATCATGTTGCTTACCAATAGGGTTCTAACTTCGTTGCTAACAAACGTATCTCCATGATCAATGGAGACAATTTGTCCATCATAATAAATAGTGGCCAGATCAATTAATGGCTCTATTGATTAGATGTTTCAATTTGATGCATTTTAGCCTTTGTTACAGAACATTATATAGAACTAAAGCAACATGCTTGCAAGCTAATGTGGACAAACGTAAAGTAATTGGATTTCTGACACTATGGGACCAAGGTAATGAGACTCTGCGTAAAGCATTAATTTTATGACGCTCTAGGACATAGCAATTGATGACACTACACAAAGTCATTGGATTCCTGACGCTCTCAGACCAAGGTAATGACACTTTGCGTAAAACATTAATTTTGACACTCTAGGACAAAGCAATTGATGACACTGCACAAAGTCATTGGATTCTTAACGCTCTGGGACCAAGGCAATGACACTCTGCGTAAAGCATTAAATTTATGACGCTCTGGGACAAAGCAATTGATGACACTCTCCACAAAGTCTTTAGATTCCATATGCAATGAGACAAACTAATTCAAATTTTTTGCAATATATATACACTACATACGTTCCAACCCCAAACACACAACAAAAGATCAATTCTCTTCGGCTATTGCACTCTTCAATTTCGTTGCTATTGTTTTTCAAAAATTTCTTCTTCATCTTCAACTATGTTATGGAAATAACACCTCCATAGGTTAAATGAAACTCATCTTATAGTAAGTTAATATATATTGCATAACGTCTTTGATGGAGAGGTGGAGACCTGAAACACATACTTTTCACCTCCCAGTTGGTGAGTGCACGGTTACTTTGGAAGATGTGGCACTACAACTGGTTTGAGGATCGACGGCAAACCAATCACAGGACCAAGTTTCTTTGACTGGGATGAATTGTGTTATGAGTTGTTAGGTTTTGTACCTCCAAAAGGGGAAGCTCTAGTTGGCTCAACCATAAAACTAAAATGATTAAGAGACCATACAATTGCACTACTAGATGAACCCACTAAACAATAATTGCACCAACATTATAGGGCATATATCTTAGGATTGATTGGTGGTGTCATTATGCTAGACAAGCCAGACAACAGACTTCACTTCATGTATTTACCACTGTTGGCTGACTTGGAACATGCAGGACGATATAGTTGTGGTTTTGCTTGTTTGGCACATTTGTACAGAGAAATGTGTAGCCAAATCTATCCACCGTCAAAGAAAATGGTGGATGTTCTTTGCTTTTGTAGTCTTGGGCTTGGTATCACATGCCCTTTATCCAACCAAGAGTCCAACGGGATATTACATTTCCGCTAGCATCAAGGTATGAATTAATTTTTATACCACTTTAATACATCAAACAACTAAAACCTTCTTACTAAAATTTTATCAATGTACAAATTATTTAGGTGGTTAGGAAGAGGGCTAAGATTTACAGGCACGTCCCATGGAGACTTACTTGGCTATAGATTAAGATATGACAACATGAATCATAACGAGGTAATACGATGTCAAATTCTCTCACACATACTCTCTTTTATTCAATTAATGTATATCCTAAACCTTTTTCTTTTTCAATTTCTATGGATGCCATATAGGGAATTTTAGTCCTCACTGTCAACACGTGCTTATAAGGATTCTATAATATGGACTTATTGTACTGCTTTAACTTCATTTGCAGTTGTAGTCTGGTATCAAAGTGACAGAGTCTAATTGTAATTTGGCTTGTGGTAACCAATCCCTAATAAAGCTCATAATCTTGATAAAATGCACGAAATAGACATGAGAGGACATAACGACACCACTAGGTTGAACAACATGCAGACTGGATTTCCATTTAGAAAGAAAGATGCAAACATGTTATTTTTTGGGAACCACTTCAAGGGCCTCTCCAACACACTCCTAATTATTTGCAATGGTTTCGTGCTAATTCAAAATTATTTCTTTGTAGTCAATATTCTTCATCTCGTGCATCCACTTCTAGTATACAACTCCCAACAATTATAGGATTTCAACAACATTTTCCAACACCATCACAAACCCTAGTAGTTGGAGATAACCACCCACCTTATAGTGTGGAATAACATCCCCAGTCTCTTTCAATGAATCCACAATTTCATATGCACCATGAACAATTCATGTACATCCCACCATCAACAACTCCAATAGGGGACTTCATGAGCAATCTTTTCGGCGTCGACGTACACACGCTACAAAGTGCATATGATTACATGCAAAAAATGAATTTTCCTTCATTTTCTTCTTATCGCTCTGCGGTTAGTGGAAGTGCTTCGTCGAATCCAGCCACTGATACTGTTCATATAGAACATGATGAGGAACAAGTTGAAACTAGTGGGCATAGGCATCATTAAAGTTGGATTGTAATTTGGTGGATTGTAATTGTGTTGTTGTTCTTATTTATTCGATCTCCTATTTTATTGTTGTTATTTTGTTCTTATTTAAAGTTGTTGATCTCAATTAAAATTGTTCTTATTTAAAGTTGTGAATTTTAAATTAAATTATCTATATTTTTTTAAATAAATTTCTTTTTTAATTAAATAAATAAGTTTTAACATTGTCTTTATTTTTAACATAAATTTAAAATATTATACATAAATTTAAAAATTAAATTAAATTATAATTTTTTTAAATCTCAAAATAAAAAAAAAAATGAATTTTTTAAATCTAAAAATCAAAAAATAAATAACGAAAAAAAAACCAAGTGAGAAGTAACCAATTTCTTAAAGAGATTTTGAAGAAAAAAATTAAAAATTCTTTTAAGAAATCGGTTACCCACACCTGTGCCTAAAAATGAGTTATTTTGATAAATAAGAATGGACACATGTTATTTAAATATTTTAAAAAAACAATATATTAAAAAAAATCGTAGCCTAGTACCATTTTGGTTTTTTAATATTGGTGATCGGTTATTAAATATGATTTCCGTACAATTATTTGAAATTTGAATCTTTTGCTCGTGTAAACCAAACATACTTTAGAATTATATGATGGAAAAGAACCCATCGTCCCTCCTACAAATCTATCCGAATTTTTTTGAAATTACAAATCTTGAAAATTATAATAATTAAAATATAATTGATTATTTATAAAGGTCCTGATAATATTTATATAGTATGTTGGGTATTAAAGGTTTTTATATTTAATTATAATAATATATATTTTGATATATAAATATTTTTTTCTAAAATTCTTTTATTAAAATAAATTTATTAAATATATTTATTTACTTGAATCTTATTATGACAATAATATATTTTAAAAGGTTAAAAATTTATAGTTAAAATTTAATTATATAGAATTTTAAAAAAGTAAAAAAATGTTATATTATAATTAAAAAAGATAAAAGTATATTAAGTTATTTTATTCAAATAAATAAATAAATTAAGGGTTAATAAATATTATTAAGTTATAAAAAAATTAATAATACTATTATAATTGATAAGAAGAATTAATAAAATATAAAAAAGAGAGAGAAATAGAAATATGAGAGAGAGAGAGAAAGGGAGAGGAAGAGGAAGGGAGTGAGAGTGGGAGAGAGAGAGGGAGTGAGAGAAAGAGAAAGAGAGGGAGAGTGAGAGTGAAAGAGAGAAAAAAAGAAAAATATTTATTGTTTTAAATAGAGAGATTATGATTATATATGTATATATATATATATATATAGAGGAGGGTTCAAACGACACTGGTGTAACTTTTACTAAGTGTTACATCGCTTAATAACTTTATATCAAATGTGAATTTTGAAAATTCAACCGTTAGATTGAAAGTTCATATCTCTTAGATCATATATGTCAAATTTTGTTATAATCAAAATGTTCATATTTTAGTATATTTTGAAATGTATATATTACGTCAATTTTGTTTTATGAGAATGAAGTATCAAATCATTTTAGATTAATATAAAATTTGATATATATGATCTAAGAGATATGAACTTTCAATCTAACGGTTGGATTTTCAAAATTCACATTT